ATTAAGAAAATTTTAGGTCCAGCCAGATTTGAGAAAAAAATATAAAACATTCAACCCATTTCTAAATACGTTGGCTACTAGGCGACTTGAAATAGGTACAAATATTTGTATTTATTTTCTGCTAACTGAAATGGCTTCAATAATTTTGGATAAAATATCGATTTTGCTAGACAAAATAATTTGTTGAAAACCAAAGCCCAAACACAATATGTAATTAGAAATAAATAAAAAAAACATTATTATGGTACATTAGACAGGTACAAGGCATATTGAGGTACAAGACAGGTACAAAATATCGATGCAGGCTACAAATTATACATTAACATTGTCACACAAAAGTTGTTACCTTCCACGTCATTTGGGAATATTACATTGGTTAACGTTCTCCTCATCTACAAGCGAGGTATCCTCCACAACCGGAAAAATTAAGGGGCCATCAATTTTTGTCTGGGCCTAAGAAAGGAACAAAAATAATTTTTGTCTTTTCCTAGGATTTTGGTTAATTTTGGTTACATATATTTTATTTGCTTCTTTGGATATTCTCAGTGCAACTAGGTAACATAAAACCGTTATCTTCAAACTTTTCATTCTCTCCCATAGTCTAATTGCTTTCTGCTTCGTCGCTATTGTCAATCTCTGCTACACATTATCCGTCTCTACTATTTTCTTCTTCGTCGCAGTTTTTTTGTCCATTTGACCTCTCTGTATTCATGAATTCAGTGTTTTATAACTGTTCTTTTTCTATTTCATCATCGAGTGTAAAATTATCGTTAAATTTACTTTCATTATTGCTGCATCATTATAACATCTATTGCAGCTTTTTAGCATTTTTTTGCTTTTTAAGATTAATCGGCATTATTCACCTTTTCTCCAATAATCAAGCCATCTATACAAACACTTCTACCAGTTTTCACATTCTACTCTTTTTTCGGTTCAATGCAGATGACCCAGCCCTGCCAAATCTTTGTTTTTCAAACTATATATTCAATGATGAGGCCATATGTTTCTTGCTTATAGATTCAGACACGTTTTCTTCGCTTCAATTTCATTTTTCATTCATTGCATTTTACAGAAGACCTAACTAATTGAATGTGCTCCTTCCAGTCTCTCAAAATGTTTCTCTAAGCACCTTCGAAAGGTCTGAAGTATGACACGTCTAAAAGTTATGTCAGGTGAGTACTATTAGGTGGTAACCATATTTAAATAGTATTTCTTACATTCACTTATCACGTCGTAGTGGCTTGCTAAATTATCAGCAGTTAGCAGAAAAAGCTGATCGAAACATCCGAATTTGTAGTACATAAATTATAGGACTTATAGACGATATAGATATTAATAAATGTTCCAGAGGTTGTACACGAAAACAACGGAATTATCTATAACTTTTTCGGCTCGTTTACATTTTCTGCTAACGATTATTTTCACCATTCCAGGATCATCCATGAAACTAGTTTAGTTTGATCTAGTGCTAAATTGAAACGTAACAGCAGTATAATATTTTTGATATGGATCAACTAAAAAGCGAATTAATTGTTTTATAGGGAAACGACCTAATAGAAAATTGCACAACCCCTTATGAAATGTTAAGTTTTTTCATAAAAATGATCTTCAATCTTGTATGCCAGAAATTTTTAAATTATTATGTATTGCTGTTGTTTTGCCAGTGACAACCGCGTCAACAGAAAGAAGTTTCTCCGCGCTAAAATTGCTAACTTTGTTGGCGAAACGCGCGTCGAGTGCAAAAATATCAGTTTGGTGTTAGAGCAGTTGATCTCGAAAAAAGTTATTCAACTTTCACACCAAAAGTTCCAATCTCATCGTTATCGAGGATCGAGTTCTCTGTCAATCCCATGAGATGTCGTCGTTCTTGTTCTATCAGGATTGTTCTTTGAGGACGGTTGAGACCTGCAATGCATCCGTGGTTCAGCCTAGCACCAATGATGAGACCTATGGCGGGTCGAAACAGCGCTGTCTGGTGTTAAATCACGAATGCATCGTGTTTAGACTCTGTATTTCAACCAGTTGGCTTGCAGTGAAAGCTACAGTGAGGACGAATCTTGTAGGCGGTCGATGTCGAAGCTTGGCTTTGCAACTGACCGTCTTTGGGAGCCCACATTTTCATTAGACTTTTCACAGATACTCAGTATCTACAATAGCTAGACTTGATACTTGCTGATTTGTTCATTTTTAGCTGTAGAGTTTCTAGATCAGATTTGAAATTATCTGTTCTCATTGAATAATTGATTAGAAGTTTCAATTTTGATATCTAGGATTATGATACCACAAAAGTTGACGGTTTGCTTGTTGTTCTCAAACTGACTCAGCTCTGCGTGAATTTCCTTTATAGGAATCCAAACTGAGTCACCAGATATTTTCGTTCACAGCATACGCGTACGATTTAGAAAATTGTCGAGGCAAAACCACGAGAAACACGTTCGTTTCGGAGACTGTCGAGGTATTCCACTTACTCTTTTAGTTGTTTTCCGAGTTTGTTGGCCGTGGCATACAGGTGATTATTTCGTCTATGAGTGCGGTATACATTATCAAAGGCAATGAGGCAACGGACGAAATGCTCTAGTTGTTCGCACAGCAGCTTTCTACCATCGGTGGAGGGGGCGTGGCTTCGTTCCTACTGATTTCAATCAGTGCACACAAATAAGGTCATTAATTCATTAATGACCTAATTTGTGTGCAATTCAAGGCAGATAGCCAGATTTAATTTATGTTAATTCACTATTACCTTCTGTTTTCTCTGTGTTTACTACTACGCTGAAGGTCGGTAAAATAAAACCCAAATCCATTATGTTCATTCGAATCTACAGAACTTCACGAAGATGTTGATATAGATTTGAGGGATTTGTAACTAAAACTGTGGAAAATGAGATACAATATCAAAGCTCATAAATAAACACCTGTACATTCACAATTAAGATCCGTTTCACAATGAAACGATAAACAGTATTGATGAGGGGAATATACACACTCTATGCCTAGAAATGCATATAGAAGGTACTTTCGTTGCCTTCAACTCAAGTTTGCGAGAAGACCCACGCATTTTCTTTATGTATTTTCAGATGTATCTTTCTTCATTCGATGAATTGTATCTTTTTCTTCATTTTACTCATTGCAACACAAACTGAAAAACTGAAGCGTTCAGATTCTACAAGTCAATTTCCTTAGTGCTTCTTGTTGTTTTGCGCAATCCAGATTCATAAAATCCTGTAGCCACTTTTTTCCCAGCTTTATTTTTGGCATCGCCGTTTTCCGAAAACATATGTTCAATCAGCAACTCCTTTAAGCGCTGATCCGCATCAGCTACAGGCTCAACCAATGCTGCCTTTTTTTTAACGGTCGACCAATGAATGCCACATTAAAGATAATAGATAGGAGAGATCATAAGTAGTAATCATCGGTGCATATCATTATACGAGTAGAAATGACTCCTTTGAAAAATTCATGAAAAATGTTGAATTTACATTTGCTTCTATTGGGTTCTGGGTATTAGATTATTTGGACATTGCATTGGGCACAGAGTCCAGCTATCAATTACTTTCTCAATTAAAGAAAAAAGGTTCATTATTAGATATTTTGCTAGTACCTTTTTTTATGGGATATTAAACTGTAGATATTTATTTTTATCCAGTTATGAAAAATTTCTTTGTGACGACTCACTTTCTACAGGAGCAGCATAACAAGATTTCACAAAAAAAATGAGTTACATATAATGGTGACAATAATTAATTGAATCACTTCGTTTTTTTATTAATTCGAATACATCTGCTGTCTGAGTCAATGAACGCTCATATATTTTTTTTCTGCAATCATTCTGTACCGAGTCCTGTTCTGTTGAAGTAGGATGATTCATTGTACTCATTTTCCTCGATGTGTTTCACAGATTTTTTTTTATTTTGTTAGAATATGATTTCATTATTTTTCAGTTTATGAAATTATCGATAATATGAATTTTTACTATCATTAATTTCATCATATCACTTGTCAGTTTGATGTCTACTATACATGTTCATGTAAATCGTTTTCTTACCTTCTATTATATCTGAAAATTTATACAAACATATGATATCTCCATACAATTTTATGCTCAATTGACTTCAATAAATATAAGACAGGAGAGATACTTGAAAAATAATATTTATTTTCTACTGAAGATAACTAGCACATAATTATATGGTAAATCACAAATAAATTGAAGGTTAGTAATAATATACCTATATAAATTCAAAAATATTGATGTTAATACAGTATGTCACATAATATTAAATTAAATTAAATTTTGCACATATACATATATACCCTACACAAACTTACATAACTGGAGATGAAATGAATGAACTTTTCGTACAATATCACTTTATGAAAATTAAAACTAACAAAACCATGTTATCCCAACATTTCACAATATATGTATAACACATATCAATTGTTGCATAAGCTATTGGGTAAGCGCAATTATGAGTACATTAGAAGAACCCAAGCGTATTGCTTTATATAAATTATTCTGTTCAATCGTTTCCAACATGGATATAGTTGTATAGCTGCACTCTGAATATCACAGACATTACGATTAAGACTTAATGATGTGAACGTTATTAATATTGATACCCTAACAAACTATTGTTTGATATTTGGAATTACCTGGGCTTATCAGAAGATGAATCTAAGGTAATAAAAGATTACTTAAATAGAAGGAAACAAGAAATGTCGCTTGAAGAAAAAAACTCATATTGTGAAAGTCTGTCAGTAGGGTACCATAAAGATCTATTTTGTGGCCACTGCTATTCAGTCTATAAACTATGAAATGTGGCACCTTTACGAAGATGATAAAATGTTTTCATAGTTAAAGAGGTAACAGGTGAATCAGATATGTGACACAAGTTGGACAAAGTTATTCTGTATACAGGGTGATACAGACTCATGGTACTTTCCTATTTTTTTTTATTTCCCAAGCTGTTTTTGAAAGATTCAAAATGTTGAATATGCTCACAAAAATGCACTTTTTGACGTAACTGGAGATTTTTCCAACTTCCGAAAATTACAAAGTTTAATTTTTTAATGAAATACCCTGTATGCTATTACCTTTTTTAAATCTCAATAATTTTCTGAATCCGATGATACCCCATTTGAATTGTATATTGAAACAGATGGTTCTGTCAAATGGCCTGCAAGATCACCCGACTAACCCCTTTTACTTCACAAAATGAGTGGGAATACTTGGAGACTGGCTGTTCTATTTTGTGGCCACTGCTATGAAATGTGGCACCTTTACGAAGATGATAAATTTTTTTCATAGTTAAAGAGGTAACAGGTGAATCAGACGTGACACAAGGTTGCACAGGTAGTTATTCTGTATACAGGGTGATAGAGACTCATGGTACTTTCCTATTTTTCTTTATTTCCCAAGCTATTTTTGAAAGATTCAAAATATTGAATATGCTCACAAAAAGGCACTTTTTGACGTAACTGGAGATTTTTCCAACTTCCGAAAATTACAAAGTTTAATTTTTTAATGAAATACCCTGTATGCTATTACATTTTTTAAATTTCAATAATTTTCTGAATCCAATGATACCCCATAGCTGATATTTGAATTGTGTATTGAAACAGATGGTTCTGTCAAATGGCCTGCAAGATCACCCGACTAACCCCTTTTACTTCACAAAATGAGTGGGAATACTTGGAGACTGGCTGTAAATCAAATTACCTAAAAGAACAATTAGTTCAGGCCAGTCTTAAATTACCTACACCGTAGGTTAATTGACTGACACCTATCAGAAAACAACTACTCCCCTGGTTAATACCACGAAGGGTGTTGAATTATATCTGACAAGTGTCAGTGCAGGATTCTTCACAGAAGTTATTCCTACATATGCTGTTGGCGATATAACTGCCAGAATAAATTTTCGATTATTGGAACACACTTGCAGACCAGTTTCGGGCCACTCGTCAGTGCAAGGTATTGAAGAGCAGAGTTTGGATTCATAAATACACCACTCGTTGATTCTTTATTTGAATAATTATTTTTCCGAAATTTGGCACAATAAATGTATTCAGTAACTAAGTAACAATAACAGTTCATCAAAACTCCAAAAGTTGTTCTATTGTTTCATAGCAACTGTTTGTAATCAACACAAACAAATAAAAATTTACTGAATATAACAGAGTGAATAAAACCATTTGCAAATATTCATACCAACAACATCTCTCTTGAAATAGACGATGACTTGAAACTCAATTTTTTTTAAATAATTTTTGAAAATTTTCACCTTCCAACAGCAAGCAACATTTTGAAAAACTTTAGATTTTCAATGGTCCAAACCTGAAGACGAAAATTCATATTCAAGTCCAATAAATACCCTTCCTGAGATTAACTTATTTATGAGATACAGTACATTTCACATAACCTGATGGGGTGATACTTTAGTTAAGTGCATTTTTTGATCCATTCTTTATCAATGAAAGTATTCATTCCGTAACCTGTACTTTGCCTAATTCTTCTACTACAGTAGTTGAAATTTCATTAGTTTCATGAAATATTTTGTCATTTTTACTCAGAGCATTTTGAATTGTAAAAAACTGAAATCAGAATAACAGAATTGGTGGTATTTTTATCTGAATCATATCATTTTTGTTAATATACTTAAAATGTCATTGTTGACAAGTTGTAATGCTCATTAGTGGATAGAAACAATGTCTTGTCTTAACATACTGATTTGTTTAGCAATTTTATGGACAATACAAGCTGATTTAGGTTTCAATTATGTACAGTCTACCTTCAAATGTCTCATTTTACAATTCATATATGTATTCAAACATAACAGTAAAATGGTATTACCTTGTGTTTTTTCTCGTAATTTTAGATGTATTCTTTGAACGAATTGATTTTTTTCGATTATGAGTTTTTTCATGCAATTTCAAATCACTATTTCGAATAAATGCTTTTGAGCAAATGTTACACTCAAATGGTTTCTCTCCAGTATGAATTTTTTCATGAGTCTTCAAATCATTACTTCGAGTAAATGACCTTAAGCAGACTTTACACTGATATGGTTTTTCATCAGTATGAGTTTTTTCATGTGAATTCAAATCACAATTTCGCATAAACAAGCTTAGGCAGATTCTACATTGAAATGGTCTCTCACCGGTGTGAGTTCTTTCATGTGCTTTCAAATCACTACTTCGAATAAATGCTTTTTGGCAGATTTCACACTGAAATGGTTTCTCACCCCTATGGATCTTTTCATGGTATCTCAAAGAAGTACTCTGAGTGAAAGATTTTGGGCACAAATTACATTGAAATGGTTTTTGTCCAGTATGAATATTTGAATGGATTTTCAAACTACTATTCTGATTAAATGACTTAAAACAGATTTTACACTTGAATGGTTTTTCCCCAGTGTGATTTAATTCATGTAATTTCAAATGGACTCTTTGATTAAATGATTTAAGGCAAATTTCACACTGGAATGGTTTTTGGTCAGAATGACTTCTTTCATGGATCATTAAATTACGACTGTGAGCGAAAAATTTCAAGCAGACTTGACATTGAAAGGGTTTTTCCCCAGAATGAGTTTTTTCATGCCTTCTCAAACCACTATTTAGACTGAAAGATTTTGGGCAGATTTTACAATGAAATTTGTTTTCTGGTTTCTCTGGGACAAGAGAATATTTTTCAATAGCAAACTCATTTTGACATGGCGAGGATGTACTCTCATTGTTAACCTCCTCTTCCTTCTCAACGATTGCCTCTTCCTGTTTTACGTAAAGGTTGATTTCAGAATCTGTAAAATACACTACTATTAAGAAAAGATAAGTGCAATTCATTTCACTGCAAGTATTCAGAATGTAAATATACTTAATTTCAGAATAACAATATGCCAGTATATTTTTTTAAGAAAAAAAACACAAGCACTACAGGAAAATCTTTAGGCGCTCTCAGAGCGGTCGTGGTTTATAAATAGAGAGTTGTACTATCTTATCAAGTTCATTTTGAGAAGTTGGTGAAATTGTTTTTTCATAAAAAATTAGTCTATTCACTGAAGATTAAGGTTGAGAATTTTGAATTAAAATTTTATTTGAATTAGACAAACTTTTGTTTTGTATACTGAAATGAGTGATTTTAATAATTCTGTTTCTCAAAGATTTTATGAAGTTTTCGAGACAGGTAACAGAATGAGCCGAGCACTCTGTTCTGATGTTTAATCGAATTGAGTGGTGAGCTTCTGCAGCGCTGTGAAATTTATATTTCGTACGCATTTATGGTTATTTGTAAAGAAACCTTTCAGTAAAAGCTACACCGATATTAAAACTTTTATAAAATTTATGGAATTCATTAGGATATTCCTATTCATTTTAAAGTTCAATTTTGCAGTGCTAAAAATGGCTATTTTGTCTTCAGTCATTCTTACCCTTCTTCAGTTGACAATAATATTTTATATAACAACCTTCGACAACTTCACAAGACAAAGTATATTGTTTCAGTTGCAAACTTTTCTCTGGCTTGCAAACACAGCTGATTCTAGGCTACAATGATTTGAAACACCTAAATACTATTCTTGAACGCCATGGAAATCAGAAAGAACATGGTTCAATGACTATCATTCAAAAAAGGTGTTAAGCATGGAAAGACTATTGAGGATGAAGATGAGAAATTGATTCAAGAAAGTCAGCATAAGTATGATTCATTCGAAAGAATGGTTGAAATAAATATATTTTTTGCTTCACATAACTTGGCTTTTTGAGGCTATACAGAATTTCTTGATCCAAATCACATTGGAAATCTCAGAAATTTTATTGATGTATTCTAATTCATAGGAAATGAGATATTTCCAAAAAAAGCGCAAAAAAACGATTTTTGTGACCTTTGACCTTGAAATTTAATAGTTGCTTACACCCTACCATATGTAGGTTTTGAGACAACTTTTAGGGTGTCAATATACAAGTATTTACAGACTTACAGCTGGGTATCTTGAATTCCGAGATTCTTACCTAATTTAAGCTTAAATGACTGGATTATTACAACAATTTTAGTTTGTTGTTCGACATGAATAATTGAAAATCTCTGCCAAATAACAAACTTTTGATGCAGTGTTCTCATCTATGTGTAGTACTTCAAAATGGAGAGAACAAAGCAATCAGATGATTCAATACATAATTGCAAATGAATTGAAAGACATCTTTCCTAATATTTACATTGCTATAAGAATTATGTTAAAGTACTATTAGAAGTACAGTTTCCCAACAAAGATATTTTTCCAAGTTAAGGATTTTTCAAAACGACTTAAAAACATTTCAAATATATATGCTTTTGGAACTTCTCCCATCACCTATCATAGTTACGATAGGTGATGATAGGACAAATCCAGTTGGATATGTTGTATCAAAGCATAGATAGATTTATTGGAAAGATCTTGGGTATGAAAGAGAAAGGACCTCCCTGATGCGACATCACCCATGTCTATATTAGTTCGTATAATGCCACTGACCTTCGTATTTTCACGGCAACTGAAGAAAATCTGTTTTCTTAATAAATTTTTTGAGAAAACTGTATAAACACACATATTGCTTCACTTTCCAAAAAATATATAAAATCTTCAAGTCAATATTGTTCCTAGTAAAAAATAATTTAAAAAAATTGTACCCTATTGTGGATGTGAACAGTTTCTGTTCTAATACTTGCGTCATACGTAGAACGTTTTTCCATTCTGGCATCTTTACAATTGTTTATTTCGTTTTGTAAATAGACAATTACATAAACAAAGACAAGAAACTGGAAGTGATGCAAATTAAAACATGGTCTTCAGCAAACTGGGGTTGTCAAGGGAAAAAAAATTTCAAAACAGTGAAACTTGAATAGAGGGGAGATTTTAATTGCCACAAATTCATTTTCAGCACAATTCACTTCGCAATTATTTTTATTTTGATTTGAGAAACCTTTAACCATAGATACAACTTTTCACACAGCGTTAGATGAATTAAGTGATGGCACAATTTTTATTGAAAGTATTTTTTGTAACATCCACTTATTTTTTTATGTCTCTTGTCAAAATTGGAGTCACTTCACCCATTTTCTCAAATAACAGTGATAAAAGTTCAATAATACCATAAGGTTTTTTTAATAACAAAGACTATATTCAGCGGATAGGTACACAGGCTAAGAAAATAAATAATCTAATTGAAATTTGAAACATCCATCTCTCTCAGCTTTCAATGGCATAATTTAATTTCGAATGTGTTATTGTTCAATTATTTCTAGTTTCAGAAACTATACTAAAGTAAATAATGTTACCTGGAGTTAAAACAGGTTTTACGTCCAAATTCATGTCGTCAACTGCTAATGCATTAGGATCCTTGAGACATTGACAATTATAATTGAATTTAAAACCTTCGGGAGTAAAGCAATCCAGTGGGATTCGAAAATCGTTACACACCTCACAATATGAACCTGTTAAATCTTCTTCCTCGAACTTTTCAGATTTAATATCATGGCGAAGAACATCAATCGGATCATCACCTTCAAGTTGTTCTAGAACACTTGCACTTGTATTATTCGATGAATTTCCCTCGAGGGTATCACTTTCATCAGATATGTAGGTATCGCATTTGTAATCCTTATATTCCATTTCACTGTTAGAACCTTCAAGTTCATGGACCATTTCAGTTTCGAGTTTAACCATATTGATTGGGGAAACTTTGTCTATTAAATATACAACTTCCCTTTTAATTTTGGTTTCATCGATACCAGAGCCAGTAGCCATAATTCTTACAAAACCAGACTTCTTTCCACAAGAATATACGAATAAATATAATTACTAATAAATTATCCAGTCAGTGACATAATAAATTGAAGTTTAAGGTATTGTAGTAATTTAACGATATTAGCGCCATGTCATATATCATGTCATTAGTAGGGACCTCAGAATGTAGGGACTGGTGACAGGCAAGAAACATATATTTCGTATGATGTAGGCGAGTTCTTAAACTCAACAAAAAAATTCTGATGGAATTCTTCAGCTAGTAAAAACGCGCTAGCGATGCACTGATCAATTCGATACGTAAGAATGTATTCGAAACGTCATCGTGTTTCTGTTGGTTGAAGCAATCCATCGAATTTTTTTGTTTACGAGCGTGTATTCAAAAACGATTCTTAGTTACGTCATTTAATATAGTCGAAGTAAACGATATTGTGAACATTTAAAGTGACGGTACTCTCAAAGGACAAAAAACCAATACATAGAAATGTACCGGCTGCGATATAGTCCACGTGGACTGTAGACTTGGCATTTCGTATTGGATAATTTTTACTAATCGAGTTTTATGATTGGCTGAAGAGTCATAAAATGAAATTTGAAGTCATTTTACGGTGACGAATAGAAATCGGGAAATCGGAGATGGTTATCGCCGTCGTGTTCAGTTCAGAAACTGATCGCGATTTGAGTGTTGAAATTCGATATTGGTGCAGTTATTATTCGAAATTTTTGTCATCTATTTTAAATGTGGCATTCTTTGACAAGTACTAATAGTAATAACGAGTGTGATAACGCAAACTTTTTCCAGTGTATTGATTCCAATAACGATGCGAAAAAGAATAAGTTTCGGATGCATTTGAATATTGAAACACAGAGAGTTCGTATGTTTCAATGTATATAAGAAACTGCATCTCAAGTTTAGTTTGGAGGGAAACAAACTATTACAAGAAACATCATATTGATTTCACCCAAATTCCTTTCTCAACTGTACGTAAGATAGTCAAAAACAAACCTTATGAACGCAAGACGCGATGTGACGCAGGATTACCAAAACCTTTTGATAAAATCATTGAACAAAACAATATACGACTGTTACAAAAGCAATAATGAGATTCCTACAATTAAAATCATAAGGAAGAAATTGAATAGTTCCGGCCATAACGTGAGCTCTGTGACAAAACTCTTCAGAATTGGATAAAGAAACTAGGATTTAGAATTAAAATAATAAACAAACGTCAAGCAGTTATGGAAGGCAGAAAAATAGTGGAATTGCGTAACAAATACTCAAAAAAAATAAGTAAATATAGACAAGAACAACGACAAATTTTCTATTTGGACGAAACTTGGTATGACACTCACGACACAATACGAAAGGGTGGACTGATGGTTCGAGAATGTGTACGTCTAACATGCCTGCAAACAAAGGATCGCGACTAATCATTGTACATTGCGGATGAAATAATAAAGGATGGTTCCCAATTCTTTGAAATCATGTGGAAAAAAACTTGAGGACTGCAATATGTTGACTATCATAAGAACATGGAAGCTAATATTTTCGAGGAATGGTTTGAAAACACATTGATACCAAATTTGGATGCGAATAGAGTAATAGTTCTTGACAACGCTTCTTATCATTCGCGACAGCTCATCAAAGTACCGAATAAAAATTCGAGGAAATCAACACACGAATCAATGTTCATATTGCAATTATAGTACTTGAACTATAAATCTTACGGTAATATGCATGCACGAAAGAAGAAAATTATATTAAAACTAATCGCTGGGATTCGATCATGCGCTCTGTGATTCAATACCAAAGAGTGGTGATACTGCTTTACTGGTTTGTATACAGAAATACTGTGCCCTAAGTAAACTGCGGTTGACGTGTTTCACGATTTTCTTATAGTCCCAATATCATCTGACATATTCAGGGTGATTCGTTTAAACTGAATTGCACTATATAAGATAAGGTCAAGTTTATTCAAAGTTTGATAAATATAATTTCGAGTTTTGTATCGGCATTTCAGAGATAAAAATATCGGAAAATATATTTCCGAGTTGTGATCCTTCTGTAGAAACTTCGCCCTGAGTACTATTTGATAGTAACATACATAGAACAGCTTAATCCAACTGATGATAATAAAAAATATTTTTAACATCAACCATTTTGTTGACGGAAGCAACCTTATCTCTCTTTAATTTTCGTAAACCAGTGCTGATACATACTCAAATATGCATTTAGAATAAACATGAAATTTAACAAAATAAGTCATGTAATTTCATTTTTTTTAGATTTGTATTTTGTTGATAAAATTAGTTTTCAGTTGCTTAGGAAAAACTGCATTTTTTCAATAAAAAGTTGAATTACTTTTTTTTCAAAAAACCGAGCTTAAATTGGATAGGATACAATTTTGATTAATACAATTGAGCGTTTAACGATGAGTAGTAGAAGTCAACATTGTTTAACATAGGACTCCGTGGCGCAACGGTAGCGCGTCTGACTCCAGATCAGAAGGTTGCGTGTTCAAATCACGTCGGGGTCACAAATTTTTTTTTATTTTATTTTTCAACTCGGTACATGTCACTCATTTTACGTAAATATAATTTTGAAAATG